ACATCTTACAAGGTCAAGAAAAGGTCTTACAAGGTCAAGAAAGAAAGAAAAGAATTCGACGAAAAACGAAACGAAACGAAAGAAAAAAAGAAAAGAATGAAAAAGCTCAGCTAGGATAGCCCCCAGTTCACATCAACCATCACCAAACAACATCACAAAGCTCCAGCTCTGATCGCTTTCAGAGCTTCCATTTCGGCCTCTGCTTTCAAGCAGACCTCCTGAAAATATATATATATATATATATATATATACAAAACACAGAACATATATTAATTATCAACGCGTGTGATGACATTTTAGATTGTTACATGGAAATGGTAGGGTTGAAACTTGAAAATGAAAAAAGGGCGCATTCTAAAACGAGCTTTGGTTTGGGTCTTTTCATACCTCGCTGTGGAAATTTGTGTCTGGCTTTCATCGAGATGTTGAAAAACTCCCACATCGAGAGATTATGAAGAGAGGGGGAAGAAAGGGAAAATATTTATGTGGAAAAAAAAGTGAGGAAACGGCCAGTGTTTATAAAGGAGGGGGACTGGCAGTGGGCTGACAGCGACAGGTCCAAGGCCCAGAAAGAATGTAAACGGAGCGGGTGACGTCAGCCCAGAGCGACCTCTGCCCGCCGTGTGGCTGCCCGGGCTGCCCGGCCGACCGCTGGGGGTGAAAAATAATGAAAAGGGGCAAGTAAATAACAGTCAGTCAATAAGCCAAAATGTGCTTGGCCCAAATATTATTATTACCCCCACCCTCTGGAGAGTCGTGTCCGTACCATCAAACAGGGACCATCTCTGAGCTCTTCGTGGTCCACGTGGCAGGTTGTGGACCGTTGGGCCATGGGGGTCGAGTGTTCGTGTGGTTCTCAAATTTTGAGATTTCTGTGGCGATAAATTAATAAACTTTCTTTTTGTTTGTTTTAACCACCAAGTACGGCAGACTCAAAATTTAATAATTTGTTTAATAATTTTTAAAGAATAAAAAACAGCCTGCTTAAAGGCCGTGAACATTGACTATTATTAACGAAAGCCAGCTAGCTTAGCTATGAAATCATCAAACATTAATGTTATTTTACCAAGGACAATGATCCTTGTTTACAATGTAAAAACTATGCATAGAGAGTTAGGGCATGTTTGGAAGTGCTTCTGGAAGGGCCAAAAGCGCTTTCTGATAACTAAAAGCGCTTTTGATAGAGTTTGACAGAAAAGTTTAGAAGCGCTTCCTGGAGAAACAACTGCCAACCATGTGCTTCTTCATGAAGCACTCTCAAATGTTTTTCCACGAAGTACTCTAATTTTTTTTATGAAAATTCAAGATTTTTATAATAAAAGCGTTTTTATTAGAAGCACTTATGAGCAAAAGTACTTCCTAGAGAAGCAGTCTCAAACGAGCCCTAGTATTGCATGTATATTATAATTACATTTCACATTTGTGTGCACAACGCAAGAATTTCACATTTCAAATTTTACATATATATAACCAACCATGTGCTTCTTCAGGAAGCACTCTCAAATGTTTTTCCACGAAGCACTCTAATTTTTTTTATGAAAATTCAAGATTTTTATAATAAAAGCGTTTTTATTAAAAGCACTTATGAGCAAAAGTACTTCCTAGAGAAGCAGTCTCAAACGAGCCCTAGTATTGCATGTATATTATAATTACATTTCACATTTGTGTGCACAACGCAAGAATTTCACATTTCAAATTTTACATATATATAACTTTTATATGAAAGACGCACAAAGAAAATCTCAGTTGTATTCTTTTTTTTTTATAAAGATCTTTCTTATCGAGAAGGACAATAATATATTAAACATACACACACAACACAAATGCTAAGATTCGAAATAGGACCTTTTCTAAGAAAACAATTGCTCCAAATTACTACACTACTAGTAGGTCCTTTGCCAACACATTTGTGTTTTTAACCGCAAACAAAGAGAATCTCTGATTCTGTATTGACACAAAATTTATATTGGAGGTAAGTGCCATCTCTAGATTGAAGCATAAAGGCAAGTACAAAGACGGAGGGAACAGGGAATCTTGTTAACTGCAAGAAACCTTAAAATTCACTATATTTTATTATTCGACTTCAAAAATATGCTCACTCTAATTCTTATTTATGAACTAAATGCAATTTTTTTTCTATAAAAAATTATTGAGGGTTGTTGGAAATGGAGCCTCAAGGGCGTGCGGGGAAGGGGTAGCATTAGAATCACAGTCTCCCAAGATATATATGGTCAAAGTAAAGGGAAGAGATCACCTTCCCCAGTATTCCTTGGCCTGCGTTCTCTAATATTTTGTTAATATTGAATTATTAATTAATTAATTTAAATTTTGTTTTTAATCACAAGGAGGTTTGGGTCCTCTCAGCTTTGGGAGATCCTCACTGGCTTGTTTCTTTGTAAAGCTGGCGGCAACTATGAGTCTATGTATTTGATTCGCTCACAAGTCCCACGTATCTAATTTTGAGATCAGAAGTTGAGTGCATATGCCCTAAAATTCTGAGCTCAACTTGTGCCTCTAAACTGGTCTCTAAGGGCGGCAGCTGCAGGATATGGTTGACCTCTTCCACCACCATTGCTTCAATTCTTGTTAACATATATCCATATATTTTCTGTCTTGGCTTTTGCCCCACCTCATGATGCCATTGGCAATATCCTGAGTCTGAATATTTTATGATTAGGGTTGCTACAATTAGGCACATTAATTGGTACAAGAAATAGATATTGTTGTAGCACAGAGCAGGTTAATGTGTACTGATATAAAATGAATGAATGAATGAATGGAGCAGCTGCAAAATGCAATAGACCTTCAAGATATTTCATGAACAGCTCAGTTTGTCTTGCGCAGATGGGGAAGGTGATGTGACCTATGCATGACTAGTTTGAAGCTATATATTACACGGTAGTTTTTTTGATGTTGTTTGAAAAAACCGTGTGTTTATGTCATCACACTAAAATGATAAATCGCTTTCTTTATTACTAGAACGATCTAGTTTCTATGAATTAAAGCCTGAAAATTAGATTTGTAGGATTATTGAAATGTAATGTGAAGTGAGCTATATTTAAGAAATCTCTCCATTGAAGCTTCCTTTGTTATATATATATGTAGGAATTTTGAAAAAACCGCGTGTGTTTATGTCAAAGCAATCAAATGATTTAGTAACTTACGATTTTCTTTATTTTTGTTAGAACGATCTGTGATTCCATTAAAACTTGAAATTAGATGATGGAATTATTGAAATGCAATATGAAGTGATCTATATTTAAGGAATTTCTCAATTGAAGCTTTCTTTTGTCTATATCGATCTATAAATGATGAAGATCAGTACTGTATATAAGTACCATGTAGACAGATCACAGGAATACCAAGACACAAGTTGGATGAAGAACCAAGTACCTAGATGCACAACAACACCTAACACTATATAGCTATATAGGTGGAAGGCAGAGTAGGCTTTTACTTGATAGTTATTCATTACCAAATGAGGAATCCAATCATATTCGATTTGGGGATAAAGCAGAGCCTTGGAGACATGTCCTTGGGGGAACTATTTGGGTATAGTTTTTTTTTTCTTCTTTGTTTCTTTGGAGAGAGAGAGAGAGAGAGAGAGAGAGACGCATTTGCATGGGTTTTGGTCCTTTGTAGAAGGAGAAGATAGAAAGGAACAAAGCAGAACCAGCCCTGCAAAGATTCTGCAGAGACACACACAGAGTGTGCATGTGTGAATTATTTGAACTTCTCTCCACTTAGAATTTGCAGGCAAAATAGTGACATCCATTTCGTTTTCATTTTTACAGTGTTTGCTTGTGCAGATTCCTCATAAAGTATTGATCCAGAAAGAAAATTGGAAGAGGAACTCTTAATAGTTGCATATTTATCACAAAACATGTTGTGGATAAGTTATTATTACCTGATTTCATACAACTTTTATCCAACTTTTTAACACTTATTTAATCACTTCAAGAGAAACAAGTGTGCTAAAAATAAAAGAACATGCTCTTTCTCAGAGTCTTAAGATCATACGTGCAAGTCATGCCCACTCATACATCATAGTCACTCACTCCCCTCCATTTCTAAACAACTCTTTCTTGAATTCTGTTTGGGTGGATTGGATGGCTCCATTCGTACGTGGACCCTTCTATGTTTTATGCTTTTCCAAATTTTGTAGACGCGTACAAACCAAACGCTTTACATCAACAAATATCACTATTTTCAAGTTCGAATCCCTCTTGCCCCGTTAATAATAAATATAAATAAACAATTTAGATCCTTTTATTTAAAAAAAAGAAGAGCAATATGCTAAGCATGATATAGGTTACAATATTTAAAAAAACACCCAAAATAAAATTAGGAGATTCATCAAACTAAATACACACGTCTCTTGTAATATAAAGCAAAACAACATCATTAGTGAAAAGACGAATACTAATGAAACCATCCAACGGCAAAATCATCCTTAGAGTAGGGTGGGCTCTAACCTAATGCAAGTTCATTGACAATTAGAAACTCGGTGCTATTTTTTTATGAATTTCACCACATTAAGTGAAAATTTGCCGACAAAGGCAGTAATTTAGTCACACATAATAGACCTAAAAATCATGACTTGAATAATGAATAACTAATGTGATATGACAATGGGCTTGTAGCTGAACCGATTAAGAGCATTTACCCATACATCCGAGGTTTTAGGTTCGATGATTCCCCCTTCCGCCATCACTTGTGGTTAGGCATGCTTACACTGGTTGGGCCTTTATGAGCTTTTGTCTCAGAGATTAATTGGGTTGTACTGGGCCCATTAGCTTCATCCAATGAAACAATCAAAACACCTCCCCGCTCCATCCGTCATTTCAAGCGACTGGTAGTCGCAATCGCCAACTTGCGTGCACTCACGTTATACACGACTCACGAGCTGCCACCCGCCATTCAAATTCCGTTACGACGTAGTTAACTGTGTCTGCCACGTGGACTACTTATACGGGTCCATACGATTACCCGATTGGTCTTTTTATATCATTTCAAACGAAATAAATTAATAATATATGCTCAGTCCGAGTATTTGGGCACTGATTTCAAATAGAAATGACGGTAGTAGCTCTGTTCGTCTCGGCGACGAAGCTCGCCGGACTGCTGGTTACTGTCACAGTTGCTGCCAATGCTTTCTCTTTCTCACGTTTCTGGAAGAAGAATCTGCGGCCGTTCCAATCGCCGATCGATGAGTCCGACGAGACTCTTGCCGACTTCAATCTCGGCGGTACTGTAATTTTCCCCTAGCTGCTCACACCGTAACCCTAGTTCTAATCATTTTGCTTTATAATCTGCACAAACTTGAAGTTTTGCTTGTTTATTTGTGGATTAAGTTAGGTGAAGAAGCTTAAATTGTGTGTATTAAGTTACGAACAGAAATTTTATCCTTCTAATTTTTGGCGAGCTAGCTAATACTGTCATTGCTTTGTATTATATATGTTAATGATGCTATTATGCTTCGTGTTCAATGAGGTTGTGGTAGCTCATAGTTAATGACAGCCATAATGAATGGTTAATATGCTCCTCACTAATGACATCTTATCTTATCTTATCTTATCTTATCACTTTCCTTTTTTATTTTGTAATTTCTTTGTCATTATAATTAAAGACAGTTGTTGCTGTGCTTATGTTCATCCATATTTGTGGAACTTAACCACCCAAACATTCACTAATTATGAGTTTGATAACTTTTTTTTTTGGGTGAAATGGAGGTTGAGGCTTGAGTTTGGTCACTAAAAAACAAATCGAAATTTGAAATATATCCCGAAGTTGAGGGAACCATTCTATATAAGATCTTTATATATATAATATGTTGTCATGCCAATTGTACTTAACTATTCTGCTTGAGTGGGGTTCAAATAGAGTGAGACTTGGTTGATCAGATTTTCAGAACTCAGAAGCACTTTTTTTTTTCTCGGATTGGTTTATCATAAAAGTATTCCGTTATGTGATTATGTGCAGAAGGAGAAGATGAGTTTTTCTTCGGGTTGGCAACAGCTCCAGCACACGTTGAAGACAGGCTAAATGATGCTTGGCTCCAGTTTGCAGAAGAAGATCCTGATGACAAATCAGAGTCACAGGGGGAACTGCAAACCACAGATGCTATAACGGGTTCTGCTACTGGTGATGGTGGATCTCAGCCAGTTTCCTTATCAGGAAAAGCTACGAAAACAGATACAAAAAGGAAGCCTCTTAAGATAGCTATGGAAGCCATGATTAGAGGGTATGAGAAGTATATTGAAGGAGACGGAGGAGAAGAAGAAGTAGAAAAACCTGTCCCAGACGAAGATTGCCATCATAACGTAGCTGCATGGCACAACGTTCCGCACCCGTAAGCCTCACTTTTCAAACTTGATGACTTGAAATTTAAGTATATTTCAAAACAAGTCATGCTTATTTCTGGCTCTCATTCTGCTCTGAAATTTATGGATTTCACATTACTGATGTTGTCTTGTGGGTAATGGATTCTTGAATTGATCTCAGAGCAGAGAGGCTAAGGTTTTGGTCTGATCCTGATACAGAACTGAAACTGGCTAAAGATACTGGCATCAGTGTCTTCCGAATGGGAATAGATTGGTCGCGAATTATGCCAGAAGAGCCGCTCAATGGGCTAAAGGAAAGTGTAAGTCTGATGTTTACTGTTTATGCACTTTCTAAGCATTTGGTACACGATGATGCTTTTTGGGGAAATTTAGATAGGCAAAGAAATCAGGAATGGTGCAGGATTTTCTTACCATATAGGGTTCATCCTTACCTAACCTTTTCATAAAGATATAATGTTGACAAGTTAATGAATATTTGCATTGATAATCTTTTCAGGTTAATACGCTGTGTTGCCTCATTTTAAATGGACTATCATTATAAGTTTGACTGAATTCAGATGTATCTCCTTTCTTTAGGTTAATTATGCAGCATTGGAGCGATATAAGTGGATCATCAACAGGGTTCATTCATATGGAATGAAGGTGATGTTGACTCTGTTCCATCACTCATTGCCACCATGGGCTGGCGAGTATGGAGGGTGGAAAATGGAAAAAACGGCTGATTATTTCATGGATTTTACAAAGTGAGTCTTCCTTTCAGTGGTAGAGTTGCCAGTTATCTTCTGGGGTTCTGATTTCTTTCACTGCTTGCTAGGCTGTCTAGATTATGCTAGTGCTTATCCTGTTTTCTTATCATGTAGCATTTCTTCTTTCTTTCCTTTTATTTTTTCTTCCTTAAATTTTGATTCTTTGATTCATTCTTTTTTCAGGCTTGTTGCTGACAGTGTATCAGATATGATAGACTATTGGGTAACATTTAATGAGCCTCATGTCTTCTGCATGCTTACTTATTGTGCGGGTGCTTGGCCTGGTGGTCATCCTGACATGCTGGAGGTTGCCACTTCTGCTCTACCAACTGGTGTTTTCCAACAGGCCATGCATTGGATGGCCATTGCACACACAAAAGCCTATGAATATATCCATGAACAAAGGTTTCTCTGCCTCGTATAAGCTCTGGGAAAGAACAATTGTTTAAAGAATATAACAAGCGTGATCGTGCGTTCTGATTGCCTAATTAATTGACTACTTTATAATGCCTTAGTCCTTTCTGCTAGGGATGGTTGTGCGACTTCTTTATTTTATCATTAATTATATCCTAAAGTTAGTCACTTGTCTGAACTTTTTGTTTTCTCTTCTTCAGTTCCTCATCAAGACCAATAGTTGGAGTGGCACACCATGTCTCATTTATGCGACCGTATGGTCTCTTTGATGTTGCTGCTGTTTCACTGGCTAACTCCTTGACTCTGTACTCATATGTGGATAGTATTTCTGACAAGCTGGATTTTATAGGCATAAACTACTACGGACAGGTTTCCTCACCTCTCTTAGCAAGTAAACTGACAGTCTTTTGCTGCTATCACCTATATATAGAGCAAGACGAGTCAACTGTAACATTAATCTTCTGCCCTTCAGGAAGTGGTGTGTGGTGCTGGACTGAAGCAAGTAGAGACTGATGAGTATAGTGAATCTGGACGTGGGGTATATCCAGATGGCTTGTACCGCGTGCTGCTTCAGTTCCATGAAAGATATAAACATCTAAATGTACCCTTCATGATTACTGAAAATGGGGTATCTGATGAGACTGATTTGATCCGTCGGCCATATCTGCTAGAGCATTTGCTCGCTATTTATGCAGCCAAGATCATGGTTTGATTCTCCATTGCACTTCTCAGTTGTTTTTGAATTAAATATACCTTTATTTGGCGATGATGGGTGTTATAAGTTCCTACGTTTGACTTATAGGGTGTACCTGTGATTGGGTACCTGTTTTGGACTATTTCTGATAACTGGGAGTGGGCAGATGGGTATGGTCCCAAGTTTGGACTTGTAGCAGTTGATCGTGCCAATAGTCTTGCCCGGATTCCTCGTCCTTCGTACCATCTATTTACTAAGGTTAACGTTTTTCTCCTTTCTTGCTTAAGTTTCTTTCCCTATTGTGCTTGTTCCCCCGAAACACAGCCCTGATTGTGCTCTTGGTTAAAAGTTTGAGTGTATGTTTTCATTTCAGGTGGCGACAACGGGTAAAATTACACGGGATGACCGTGAAGGTGCGTGGAATGAGCTCCGTATAGCTGCTAAAGCACAAAAAACACGACCATTTTATCGGCAAGTTAATAAACAGGGTCTGATGTACGCAGGTAAACCATGAAGCTTAATATTGTTTTAGTTTCAAGTTACTATCTCTTTCCTCAATTTCATATTTTGTTGTCCACTATTTTCCTTTTCTTTGTGTCTTCAATCGAGACGATGGATGAATTTGCACAAGTAATCCATTAATAAACTTTTTTCTATCCAAATATCCACACTGAAAAGAATATTGGGGGCAATATCTAAGCCTCTAGGTACACCATTGGAAGCCGGTTTCACGAAAAGTTATTCCCTAGGTTCTTCTAAAGCTTGAAATTAGAGCAAGTTCACTACGCAATTACATCAGTCCTCAGATTGGTAGGTGAATGAAGCTACCCAAGAAAGGAGAGGGCCACTTGGATACGGACCCCTCCTTCCGCACAATATAATACTACCACTCTCAAGAACCTTGAAACTTGTCTTGTGCATGAAGAAGTTCACTTATTTCCCCATTTGTGATGGTGCTCATCTTTATTTGTTAATTTTTGTTTTCTGATATTCTATTGATTAATGGATATGTTTTACTTTTCATATTATTATAACAGGAGGCCTCGATGAACCGATACAGCGACCCTTTGTTGAAAGAGATTGGCGATTTGGTCACTATGAGATGGAAGGTCTTCAGGACCCCTTAAGTCGCTTCTCAAGATTCATTCTCCGGCCTTTCTCCCTCATAAGGAAACCTAAAAAACACAACTCGTTTTCGAGCAAGTCGAAAACTAAGAACCCTGCTGCAATGGAGGAGTATCTTTTGTGATTCTCCCTTAATTTTGGGCCAACACTGTTATCTCATCAACTTATCATGGATTGGTTCCTGTAATGGACATAAATTTCATTAGACATTAGTTGTAAATAAGAACTACAGATTTCTGGAGTGACCCAACTAGGGAAATTAATCACGTATGTTTAAAGAAATACTTTTTGGCTATGTTGCACCGATACTCCTAACTTGGAGGGGTATCCTCATTATTTCATATTCATGACCCATTCTTATCAATCTAGATTGGATCCAATTTGCAGTTGACATGGTCAGTTTCCTGAACCCCACGTCAATTGTGTTGGGGGGACCTTTCCTAAATGACGCCATTGATTATGAATTCAAGGCCACAACGTCAAGGAATAGGGCGTACAAGGGACCCAACAAATCGTTTTCATGCGTTTGAAGAAAAATAACAATAATTAGGGAAAATGAAAGGGCGCAATCTTGGTCAAACAAATATATACCAATGAATTCGTGGAAATTTTGGAATAAAAATGAATTTCTTTTGCATATATGGTGACGTTCATACCCCACACATTTCGTTTTAGTTTTGAGCAATGTAATTCCTCATTTTGAATGTGTGTTTTGTAGAAAGAAATTGATGGAGCAATGTCACATATCATGCAAATTCAATTGACTTGAGAAAAATACTTGGACAATTTATATTAGATAATGCAGAGCACGTGTGGCTCGGTATTTGATCTCTCGTCATTATCAAAACTCAACATACATCGAGTATTTTATTTAAAATCAATTAATAATAAATGAAGAGACACAAAACATTATATATTGCAACACAAGTCTTTAAAATGCTAATGTGGACTAGATCATTGATTAACTGCAACCATATACTTAAATATATAGTGCATATTAATAATTCGATAATTTAATAACATGCCAAACCCTCTAAATTCTAATAAACGAATATTTCATTTCTAGCATACTACATTGTCTCCATCAACGGTGGAGTCAGGATTTCATGTGTAAGGGGACCTCTTACAAAATATTTATAAAAATAATTCGAACTCACGATACATATATAATGACATCTTTACACTTTTTTTTTTCTTTTGGTAATCTACAAATTAATTGAAAGATTCATTGAACTCAATAGAGAATAATTCAAACTTTTACAAACCCTAACAAACCACAGGCAAAGAGAAAACAATAAAAAAAAATAAGAGAAAGATTAACAATATTAATTAAGTAAGTCAACCCAATTCAAACTTGATAATTTGCCAAAAAAATTAAATTGAAACTTGATAATATATTATATGGAGAATAAGAGAATAAATAGCCACAAATCTAAAGAAATGGGTGAAAATGACTCTTTGATTTGAAGGACTTGTGTAAAAAATATGTATACTAAATTTTTAGAAAATTCACCTAAAACATGAAAAAAAAAATGTAAACTTAAAGAGAAAACCCAAGAAATATTAGAAGTATCATAAAAGATATTAATATAAAATAATTTTTTTAATATAAAAATGAGAGGGGGCCCGGTGGACCACATTGGTCTTCTAGTGGCTCCGCCCTTGGTCTACATCTAATGGGTTCAATCAAGCACGGTATTTTTGACTTTTGATGTCAATGACTATCAACAACTAATTTTCAGGGCATTAGAGCACTTCCACCCATTTGTCATGGTAAAGGGCAAGGGCAAGGCAATGACTGTCACTATTCATGTGAATAGTGGCAGCCCTTACAAAAGGTTTATGGTGTTTCCACCAATTGTCATGGCAACCACTATTTACATGAGATATGAGGAGAGGAATTTGTATAGAGTTTTGATGTGGGAAGTGAAGAGTATGACTAAGTATTTATTTTTATAAAAAATTGGAAATTTTTAGTTTTTTTTTAAATATTTTTTTTGTTGCTGACATCATCACTGATGTCAGCAACCCTAGGCTAGAGCACGAGCTCGTTTTGCCTACAGGCTAACCTGGTTTCGTGGGACTCAGCTGCTGCCCGGGCAGCTTAGGCCTGTTGGAAGACGCATTTGGCGCTTGGACCCCATCCTGCCCTGGCAAGGGCTCCTCGCTGGAACCGCTTTTAACAGGCGCCAAACCATCTTGATTCAATTTGTGATTATGATTATGATTATATAGGCTCTCTCTTTTGTTTTTTGTTTATGTTGTGCTTATTAATAAAGCATAGTTAATAGAAAAGGGATCTTCTCTGAAAAGAAAAAGAAAAAGAAAATTAAAGAAACATTTCAAAACCTAACTTGTCGTAGATGATGATTGTTGTGGGACGTGATTTACTTTCAGAAAAGGACCAGCTAAATGGTTTTCAACAAATTTGGCATATATCATCATCAATTGGATATAGTATGGAAAATTCATGTTTATCTTAAGCTTTGTGTTTGAAGTTGATAAAAAATATATCCAATGTGTGGTGCGATTGGCAAACTGTCACCTCCAGCAGGCGAGCTACCTAGTGTCTCAATGACGGAGGTTCGAAACCCATTGGAACTACTTTCTGGCTTGGGCAAGCCGAATTCCGAGTGGGGATTAATCCCCACATCCTTCATATTTACGAAAAAAGAAAAAAGAAATCCATATATATGATAAAGACACCCACATGGATCGATGCATCTTAATCATGTGTGAATAATTTTCTCAGTATTTTTCTATTCATGAGTGACCGTTTGACAAACTCAAAGAACTTGTTATTTTTGTTCAGTTCATGGCTTTTAATATTTTTGGCTGGTCATCGATTCAGTTCATCAAATGTGTTAATTACCAATGTATAATTACGATGGGATAATTTGGGAAAACCATGCCAAGTTTCAACTAGTTTTAAGGTCACAAGCGTAGCTAGGATAATGGATTATCTACTTGTTTTTGGCATTGCTTTTATGGCATGTTTACTCCGTTAGAATGACGGAAGGAATTCTACTCCACCTAGTCGATTAAATTCTTGATTTTGAAGGTATTAAATTATATATTTTAAGGTGAAATCCACACATATTTTTTTAAGAAAAAAAATTCATTATGCATTAGTAAATGCGAGAAAATTTCATCTCGTACTTTGTCTCCGAAAGTGAACATGTTCTTCTACTTCTTTTAGGGTTAAACTCAAGTCAAACTCAAAGATACTAGAAAATCCTTTAACTTGTACAGAGACAACTCCGATTAAAAATTAAGAAATTTACCAAAACAAGTAGGAGGAGGGTAGCAAGTCAGTTTCTTATACGTGCTGATAATGGAGAGATGGATATATTCAATCAGTTTCTATCCTTTTCAAGGAATCTCATTTTGATAAGAGTTGAATTAATACACATCCTAGCTAGCTAGCTATAATCAACAATCTTCATCTACATAATAGCTAGCAAGCTAGGCTGATCTCATTGGTGTGTGCAGGACCAGTTCATAAATTTCTCAAAATAATAATAATAATAATATTCGACTGAAAACATATATATATACATATTTCCTTCTTTTGCTTGCTTGCCGTACAGGAAAAAAGTCCTCTTTAAGCTCCATAGATGGAGAAAAAAGCAGAGGCTAATCTGCCACGCCTTTCCGTCACTGTCAAAACTGAAACTCAGTCACGGAAAGCATATTGGCTCTTCACTACCCAAATATGGAACCTTCCTTTTTTTAGCTTTTTTTCTACAATTATACTTTTTTTTTACTAGCTGTCTACATTGAATCTTTGGTTATTGGGCACACATAATTGATGTCACAAGTTTGATTTGGTCACAAATGGGCAGCCAGTAGCATTCCTGCATGCTTTTGTTCATGTCAAAAATGCTCATATTGCTATCACCTGGTCACATTTTGGCTAATTTTCAACTCGAAAGCAAATCAATGCACTATTTAGACACATGGTATGCAAATAAAGCCTGTTGGTTTGATATCGAAATGACATTATAGCACTTGTTGGACCGTGGAAAATGATTGTTAACTACCAATGTAATAGGCAGTAGTTAGGGTTTACACATCAATACACATAATCAGTGTCATCTTTGAGTCATTCGTTTACCTATAACAGTTTATTCATCTTAATTTATGATCGACACGCATGATTCTCGTCAGTAAAAGTACTCCAACCTCAGTTTTTTTTAAAAATATACATATATATATATATATTACCATGACTTAAAATGATGAGGTATATTAGATATTCCATTTACATCCACTTACCAAGATGATTCTCCTTCTTTTAATGATAATATAATAGTATATGTAAAAATTATGACCGTTGGCTGAACCAAGAACCATAAAACTGTGAATTTTGTAGATAAAATTTCTTCTGTGGAATAATTATATGTTGCAATTAGAGCCAATAATGATGAATATGATAGCTTGTATGATTCAATTAATGTATCTCTTCCATACCGAATAATAATATAGTCGCATCTTTGTCTGATAAGTCTTATTAATTGCCAGTTGCAAAACATCAATATCTTGTCGAGAACGACTGCAAATCAAAGATGAAGATGGTTTTTGAGGCACAACTTCATGCGTACACAGATTACATTATTTTATATTAATTTAAAAATTAAAAAAAACATTTAAAATATATAAATATAATAACAAGGCGTGAAATCAACAATATCCATATATCATATTCAACGACCGTCTCTATCAAACACGAAAAGAAATAATAACTTGAAGAAGAGTCGGATTGAGACATCGACTCGGTCTTTGCCTTCAAACTATATTGAAGTAAGTGCATGTGTGGGTCTGACGATTGCATGGGAATGCAAATTAACACTGCTTCTATTGCATAGAGGTCAACAACAACTACCATTGGTATTTCAAAAGCATATCCATATTTGTTAAGAAATTAAAGCTCCGGTCAAATCATCTAACTATCCGTAGACCACTGATAACTGTTGATTGATCATGACCACATGACCACACTTATAACAATTGATCGAATCTAAATCTTATAATGCAATTCATCAATCAATTACAATAAAAATATATTACTCATCAGAAACGTTTTGCACGTAGAATACTTTTTTGATTGTGTATAGTGATTTTACTTTTATTTTTCTAAATAAGAAACCTTTTAACCTTGTAATGTGCACACCACTGATAACTGTTGATTGATCATGACCACATGATTACACTTATAACAATTGATCGAATCTAAATCTTATAATGCAATTCATCAATCAATTACAATAAAAATATATTACTCATCAGAAACGTTTTGCACGTAGAATACTTTTTTGATTGTGTATAGTGATTTTACTTTTATTTTTCTAAATAAGAAACCTT